TTAATGATCACTGAATATATATATATGATGTGCATTTATGTTACAGGTATTTTATGAAAACTACATGCATAAATATATCTACCCATGAGTCCTACTAGTATAGGTCGAGTAGCTGCTTTGCTCAGGATATCGGTAGCGTGAGTAACCTGTCGTTACTCGTAAATAGGTGATAAATATGATCACTCATGAGAAAATGGTAGAAAATGAAAAATGGTGACCGGGCAGGGATATGGTTTGGGTACTGGTAGGTGTAAGAGGTTGTGTTCTACAGCCAATAAGACATAGCTCGGTTACACTTTTTTCCTGTCTGTGTCAATTAAGGACCGGTCGTTGCATAAGTCTCGAGGCAAGTCACAGATCTATTATCCCGACCGCATGCTTGTGTATGGGCATAGGGAAGACTCGTTGCTCTCTTGTCGTGGATCCGGCTCTTTCTGGACCGACTGATTGGAGGCAGGGTGGTGGAGGTCCTTGCACCGCATTGAGTCCGGGACTCAGGAGTGGGGGCTTAGAGTCCAAGTTTGGACGGGGACCTGGACACCCAAGACAGGAGGGTGATGGGTTAGTCCTGCTTGTGCCTGGGGTACAAGCGGGGCGTGTGTTTTTGGGGTACCCAGCTGGGGGCATTGATTCACGAATCGCCGAACGATCCGGTACGGCTTGTTTTTGGGTCTAGCACCGTAGTAAGAACTGAAAGAAGAAAGATGATAAAATGGAACTGATTGCTCAACTCTTACTTGAAAGTAGAACAAGTGGTTATATAGACTGGCTAGATAATAACTAACATGGCTGATAACAATAACATAAATAAGGACTCACAAATATCATTGCTTTCTGCAAAAAGAAAACCAGCAAACCGTGAAGCTTTGCATATCCCTTGGAGTCGGAAAATTATTCCCACTTGATGGATAAGTCTTGCAAGTACATTGTGTACTCAGGGTTTATTTACCCCTGTTGCAAGTCACACTTGAGGAGTACCTTTGTGTGGAGGATTCTTCTGGTGGGCATAGACGGATCCTCGTTCTTTATCGCTAGTTGTTTATCTTAGTTCCACTGTTTATTATTATTCCGCACTCTGACATTTGGTAATGTAATAATGTACTTTTTAAGAACTGCTGATGTATGAAATGGACAAATATTGTAACTCGTTCTCATTATTGGATCCTTGGGAAAAATGTGGATCTTTTGGGTTCTCCCTCGGGGTGTGCCCGACGGATACTGACCGCTGTAATTTGCATTCGGAGTGCTTAGTGTCTGGTGAAAGACGAGCACCTCCATAAGTATGCTATTCCGGACGGTTCTGCCAGCCATAATTGATACCAGAGCCAATAATGGTTCACTACAAGCTTACTACCCTGACCTGAAGGCCATGGTGCACTATTGCTGTGCAGAGAATAAGCATCCTCTTGAAGCTACCTACTGGGTGTCAGATGTGTATGTTACTACCTAGAATGAGTTCAAACAAGCTCATGGTGTGGAATCCATCCACGCTCATCTCGCTAGTTGAAGCGCCCCTAGTCATCCAGGAACTCAAATGTGATACAAATACTAGTCCTAGGAGGCTAGTAACACATTTATTACATCAGATAAGTCTCAGCGCAATAGTCTCGACAGGCACGGGCAATGAAGCCACGCCACATAGAGAAGTAACCACAACATAACATAGGTCCAACAGACCTAGAAGATACACAGCTCGCTACACATCTGGCGAACCCCAATGCCACAAGGTTAGTTGGGTGCAGACACGATCTTACTCGAACGCAGCTTCGAGATTAAAGTCTGGATCTTCCTCTGTTCAACAAAGCATGGGTGAGTACAAAGTACTCAGTAAATCCAACCTTACCCTACGGAAGGGGTTAACAGTACATGCATATGGATAAATCAAAGATAAGGCTTAGTTTTATTTGCATAAAGCTATCTTTTTTGACACATGCAGGGTTTCATTTTATAAATACCTCTTTGCAAAATACATATATTTTCCATGTATAAGAGTATCTTTGAAAAATGGGTTTGTTACAATTTTAAGTGTTGCTGAACACTCTGTTCCCACAACACATAGCCGACAACCATTCATTTCCAAAATCACACTCATTCATGTTTCCTCTCATCCCAACCCAACTAGTTGTTGAAACCAAACCATAACCCATCCGAGATCGTGGACACAGCTATCCAGATAGATTTTACACTCCGTAGAGGTTGTACACTTTCACCACAAGTAGGATACCGTAACTTAACACCGTCGTGCAAGCACAAATCCATCAGAGCCATTAGCCTCCATAGCTAAGTACTGGCGCTCACCACGGGCACACTAAGGCAACATCTCATAATACAACAATTTACAGAGCTCATTACATTTTATACAAATCCTTAGTTTCCACATACATCACTTAGTGTCCCGTTGCATACCTGCCTCCAGGTGATTACCATACCAACTAGGGGGATTTAGACTAAGCCTCGCCACATACAAGGTAAAGTGGTTGTTGTTGGCATTTCTTAGCGTCACTACCAGGAATTTAATCCCCGACAACGGCGCTAGAAAACTTGTTGGTATTTGTTAACGCAAACAGAGGAATCCACAAGCGCACGGATACCATTATAGCTTTCACCCAAGAGTATTCCAAGATATCGTATTTATCCACAGGGAAGCAATGGTTAAAGAAGTTTATAGATAACCATCATGTATCCACTAATTAGTATATCGACTAGACTAATGTGGGGGTAAGTGATAAGATAGGAGTGATGGATAAATGACACACACAGGAGGACTCCATGATAAGATAGAAGAGTAGAAAGCTAAGCTGGGAGGACAACGTGTGAGTTCAAGGTTCTGATATACTTCTCTATTACTATAGTTCTATTCTAGTTCAGACCAGAGAGGATAACTAAAGCATGGGTAAGACACAGCGATCACACTATAACACTTTGGGACATCAGAACACTAGCCGCGGACAGGGATGAGAAGGGGGCTAGGAAGCTCCGATTACGATCCTGCAAACACCAACCCGAACGTAGTGGAATACGTCGGCCGTCAGGGCTGTCACCACCTGAGGCTACCACAACTATCCGTAGGGTTAGGTACCATCTCAGGTAACCTATAGAATAGACATCATGTCTAGACTACCAATTACTACTCTAGTCACGATCTATAACTAGAGCACTCGATGCGAGCGGAGATCCCATGCTCAGGTGTAGAACCACTATACTAACCACGCTTAGATAACCAACTAAGGTATGCCTAGATAACCATAAAAATTATTTAAATAGTTAAAAAAGATAAATATATTAAGTACTTAAGTCTCACAAAGAAACAATGTAAGAATATACCGGACCTTCAAAGACTTTTTCAGAACCCGAGCACTCTCCCTAACTTTCAACCAGGCTATTCTAATTCTAGATCTTGAGAGCGGTGGAGTTGCTCACAGGTGTGTTTTACCGGTGAGGGAGTACCCCTTTAATTATACGATGCTACTGGTGGAGCCAACTTTGGGTAATCTATTTGGTACTAAAACTTGGGCGTTGCTGTGTGTGCGGCGCTGCTTGGTTCTGGGCTGTGCGCTGCTCCTGGACGTTGGCCTTGTCGGCCTGGGCCTGCGCCGTCGACTCCGCCTGATCTGCGTGCTGGACTCTGCTTGGGCGTACTGAGCGTGGGGCAGGCTAGCCACTGGGCCGGTTGGCCTGGCGTGCCAGCAGCTGAATCGGCAGCACGCAGCAGTGGCTGCCTATGCCTCTGCCGGCAAAGCTGCTGGGCTTGGCAAACCTCCCTCCTGCATGCATGCACGAATATTGACTTGGGACTGCTGTGGGCTGCTGCGCTGTGCTTTGCTTCTTGCTGTGCATTCAAATGCATATGCATTTGGCTGAGCCCCACGTCAACGATTCCTTCTTTGCTTGATGACGTTTACTTTCAAATTATCCATAACTATATTTCTCATACGGCATGATTGATTATATTATATTTTTGCGCTGTGACCGTCTCCGCTGCTGTCGCGTTACTTTTTTTCGCCGAGCGTCGGTTTCAGCTCAAAGTGTTTGCCGAGTGCCCGATAGAAAACACTCGGCAAAGAGACGTTTGCCAACACTGTAGATGTCGTGTGCTGTTTGCCAAGTGTTACACTCAGCAAATCTTTTGTCGAGTGTTTTTTGGTCTTTGCCGAGTGCCTGTGGCACAAGGCAAACTAACTGTTTCCGGTAGTGAATACATGCCTAGGCACGTTAGTGAAAAAAAAATGCTCCCCACACACATGCAAAAAAATTTGCCTTCATGCTCCGCCACTGTTGTGGAGGAAGAGGGAGGGAGTGTGCAATTGCGAGGAGGCATGGAGTGTCATGTGGCCGATGTTGCTTTTATGGGTCATGGGCCATTTTCACCAATGGCTCATGTCACGATCCAACGGTGGTAATAAAAATTCATTTTCACCGCCAGTTCTGTTACAAACCGGGCGACGATATATTATCATAAGTGATGAAAATGTTATGTTGTGAAAATATTTTTTAGTAGTGATATGGTTTTGGTGATATTTTTCCTGTTTGCATGATATAAAGCATTAAAATTCAGTGTTGTGAACTCATGTGAGGATGGAAAACTTCACGCTTTTCTAAAATGACTACTACTATCAGTACTTCCCGTAATACAAAGGGTTGCATGCACGTACAGGCTAAAGAACTTAAGAACCAACATTATACATAACCTAGAAGAAGTTACATGATTACATATTTTATGCTTGCCCCAGAGGTTTTTCATCCCCCCTTCCGGCCAGCTTGATGCCCTAAACAGATCGATCTATTTGTGCTGCGAGTCGCCCTCGTAGCTACCTCTGGTAAGTCTCTTTGCGCTTTGTGGACGAAAAAGCAGGTCAGAGCTGCCGTCTGCAATGTCGCAGTGCCAGGTGCCACTGCACTTGGGTTCATTTGCTCAAGCACGAACTGTTCATGGAATTCGCAAAACTCGATCGAGAATTATATGCGACGACGCATCTTCGACAAACGAACAGTGCAAAACCTTAGGAATTAAGGGTCGTCATCGTCAACGTCTGTAGGTAGAGCGTGGCGGCAGAGAGGGCACGTGTTGCTCTGCCCCAACCACTCGGTGATGCACCTGGGTGGAACTCGTGCCCGCGGGAGCACGGCATGACGGTGACCTCCTCGCCGTCCTCGAATTCCTCCAAGCAGATCGCACACCCTGTGACGCCGCACCCTTCCGCCGTGGCGTGGAAGGCTTGCTTCTCCAGGCCGGCGACCGCCGCGTCGGACGCGGGGACGACGAACGCACCTAGTAGCCCGGCGCCGCCGTCGTCGTAATACGCTCCATCTCCGAAGACAATATCATGTAGGACAGTTTCGAAATCGACCTCCAGCTGCTGTGCCAGGAGATTGAGAATCACCACAGTGTTGATGTAGTTGTTGCCCTGACCCTGAACGGTCTCCTCGGTTGGGTAACCAAACTCCGGGTCAGACTGGTACGCCACGCCGTCGTCGTCGTCGTCGTCTTGGCCGTCGTCGTCGCTGGCTCGGTCGAAAAACTCTGCCGCTTCATCTTCTTCTTCTTCCAAATTGTGCTGCCCGGATAGAAGCTGAGGAAGCCAGATCAAAGAGCCGCCAGCGGACTGCGCCAAATCCACCCCATTGTCGATGGTGAAGGTCAGGAAGCGCTCCATCTCCATGGCTTCGTCAGCGGTAAGGGCCATGTCCATGGCTTCGTCAGCGGCCAGCTGCTAGGGCTGGTGGAGAACAGCGCAAACCTAAACCTAGGACGGAGGGACGGATGGATGGATGGACGGAGGGCGTTGGATGCTTATATCTCCTGTGCTGTGCCCTGGTTAGCTGCAGGTACTGGTCGAGTCGGTGTCCAGTTCGCGGGCCACTCGGACTCGGTTAGATCAGGATTCAGGAACCATAGCGCAGCAGTTGTGAATACGATTTCCGAGCGAATAGTGCTTCCGAGTTCTGTAATGGGCCGTATAAGCAGCCCACCAACGACAATTAGGTGGGCCTTTGACCAAGATGAGCCCACCAACGACCATTAGGTGGGCCTTTGCCCAGGCCATGTGCCTCAAAGTTTCTCCCTTGGACTCTTCGTTACTGGTACTAAGTCCAACTTCTATGTAAAAATAAACTTCTACATTATCAAAAAAAAATTTAGTTTCAATAAATTATATTTCCATATAATATAGACTAACAAAATTATGTATCCATATGTAGTATATCCTACTGAGCTTGGCCATGGGTGGGTCGGGCTCATCGCCCTTGGCTCTTGGCGTTGGCAAATTCACACTCTGGTAGGACCTTGTTGTATAGTGTTATGCGTATTTTCCTCGAATAAGGTCAGGAAGCATTGTCTTATAAGTCATTTTGCACAGACTTCTCGTCATTGCTGCTCCACAGATGGAGCCGAGAGACCGAGCACCAAAATGTGGCTCCACGTCCATTGCGGCTAAAATGGCTCTGGCTCCTCTACTGGACACCTGAAAGTGCTTCTCCTCATGGCTATGTTTGGTGTTGCTCTTCTGGCTCCGGTGCCAGAGCGGCACCAACATAGGGCCTTAATATAGGCACGACCACATGGGAGGGAGTGGGAAGGCCATCGGAACCGGAGCCAGAGCGGCACCAAATAGGGCCTTAATATAGGCACAACCGCATGGGAGGGAGTGGGAAGGATATGATAGAGATCAACGACATGTGGGCCGCATAGGAAGGAGTGAGCAGGAGATGAAAGAGGGATGACATGTGGGCCCACATGTTAGGTGCATAGTCTGTAACCATGTATGTGTTTTATCGCAAATAACGTAATTTATATCGTGTGTGGCCCGATTAACAAGTACGACCTCAATTTGTAGTTATGGAAGTTAAAGAGTAGTAGTTGTGCCTTTCTAGGCTTAGGCCTTGTTTGATAGGGTTTCTCCCTAAGAGCTCCTTTGGAGAAGCTGGATCCATTTTAGAGGAGCTACATCTCCTCTGCCTCGTCCAAAACCGTTTCGTCTCCTTTTTATTTTACTAAAAACAGTAATAAATGGCTCAAGGCGGAGCTAGAGAGTAGCGGCTGTTCCGGTGCATCCACCGAATGACCAGATTCCAGGCCTAGAGCTGTTCTCGACAACCGTAACTCATGTTGTATCATGCATACTAGTCCATTATGCGCGCCCTCGCGCGCGCCGGCAAATCGCCTGGTTAAGGCGCAGATAAAAAATATGTTTAATCTTTGCATGCAGTGCATACATATCAAAGAATGGATGCAGCATAAATTTGTTTGTGCTGATCATCAGGTAATTGAAATAGCTGAGGAACTTGTAGTTGCAATTGTTAATTATGCACCTTTCTTAATACGAAAATGATAATGTACCTCTCTTCAACTGTGTGATGGTATTTGATCAAAGATCTCAGATTTGGCCAACAAATGTCGAAGATAGCCAATGACAGCAACACCATTATTGAACCACCACCATTTAGACCACCGTAAGGCATGCACAAAGCGAGATGGAATAGGAACTAGATCGGAACAATTTTTTAGCCGAGATGAAGCCCAAAGAGCATCTAGAAGTTGTCATGCTTTGCATAAACCTCATAGGATATAGCAGTGATTAGATCTTAAAAGTTAGGCGCCATGTAGTCCCGATAATTTCTAGAAGTTGCGATGATCGATATATAATAAATTTCGGTAAAATGTAAATTAAACATGTATGCATGAAGTAGGCAAGATCTTTTGTAGCCTCGCTGAATATCACTTTGTGCCTATTCTTTTTCAATCAATTTGCGATAAAAAAAACTTTATGACCATTTAGATGTTGTCAAGTCACAAACTCTTGATAACCAACAATAGGTGCCGAAAGCATCGTAATGGATGCATCTGTTGTACCAGCTCGTAGAACGTCTATTGATTGACATGATTTTCAGAGAGCATCTGAATTTACAGGTAAAATGGAGGCGTACTTCCTCCATTTCTGTTTTACAACCTGGGATGTAAGGCAGGTATCATATGCAAGCTTGAACTGCGCGTCTGCGCCATATCTATTTTACACATCCTAAAAATACCTATAGATTTGTGAAATGGATTACAGACTAAGGAGGAATAACTGTTGTACGTACGGGTCTTTATTCTAAAAATAGAACGCGCTAATAAACAAAAAAGAGGACAGGAAGCAGATGGCAAGAATATGCATAGCACAGTCACAGCTCGTTAGATTAAGCAAGAAAGAGGGCATTACAAAATTGGACAGGTCAAGAGGTCTCACAAATATTGATTGAAAATTAACACAAGAGCAGGATGCATATCTGAACTGATAATGAAAAAAGCAGGCAAGAAGGTCCAGCTCGGCATCGATCCTCACTATATAGCCAGCAGTAATGTGCAAAAGCTAAACATAAGCTACATTTAAACAGGCCAGCCAAAAAACCTGCAGGCTCATTTGACGCACGGAAAAGATAGAGAGCTACACATGGAGCAGGGCGTAGACCTGAATTTTATGGAAGACGTGATCATGCCGTGGGTGCGGTGCTGTTTTGCACCAGCCTATACAACTCAAGACGACTGCAAAGAACGATATTGGTTACAAAAGTTTATATGTGCATATATACTTTGGTAAAAAAAACGAGACCTCAAACTACTCAACCTGCATGTGCAAATAGGTTTCAGATTCATTCATGAGGCAAAAGATCAGAGTGAGGCAGTCCTCTATGGGTTCTTGGACCTGCACACAATAGGAGCAAGTGAGGTTGCCAATCAATCACTTATCCCAGCCGAAAAAGGGAGTAAAATTGGGGAATCGAATGTCGGTCACATGGATGGTTACCATACTTGAGGCTCCCTGAGCTAGAAAGGGCGAGGGCAAGAGGGAAAGGAGGTGGCAGCATAGGTGGCCATCGACGCTGTTCAGGGGAGGAGATATGATGAAGGGGCTGATGTAGGTCCGCGCCACCGCCATTCGAGGGACCACCTGGGCATCCTCCACCCCTGAGACCTGAGAGCAGAATGGATCAAGATTGAACAGACGATTGAGATAGAGGAGGGCTGTTTGAAGTGATAATGAGCATAAAAAATCACAAAGATCACATCAATGTAGAAGCCGTAGGATCCCTCATATAGATTGGTACCACCACATTATTTTTCCTGGATCATGCATTGACCTTTTGTTTTGTTTCAGTAAGTTATGCCAAAACATACATTATTGCCAAACCATAAAGATAGTTGTTGCTGACAAAAGCAGGGACGGTTCACTGTTAGTAAATGTTAATGCAACATCCCAAAAAAATGCTTCCAGCAAGAATATGCTATGAACATGATAGTCATAGATGTAAGTAAGTTCAGTGGATCTGAGTTTTTTTTTTGTGCAATAAAAAAGTTTCCAAAGCTTCCATGCACATATATCATGTTTTGACAACTGAGCATATATGATGGGACCTCTTCCAAATCATTTTCCAGTGGTCAGAAGTGCCATGGCAGACATGTCATGATAGAGGTCTCATACATGGCAACCACGAGAAGCAAGGCAGGCTTCTATAGAGAAGCAGTAGGAGAAACAAAATGACAGAGTACAGAGCAGACCAACCTGCACGGTTGCCATGAGGAACACAAGAAACAGTGAGGCAGCCGAGGGGCATTCCGATGAATAAAACAGCTAGGTCTTCACTGTGATGTGGCACATGTTGACAAAATTCATGGCAACACATATGACTATTTCTTCTTTTACTGGCAGCTGCTCCAGCACCTGCATATTTACCGACAACGTATGGAACCTGTATTAATTTTAGAAGTACTGTAATTTTTAGGAATACAACTAACCTAATGTGCTCACGCTATCTCAAACAAATGTGCCCTATACTATCTACAATATCTGATAAAGTAACTTTGGATCATTCATTTCAAAGTGAAGTGCACGAAGAATTCCAAATCCCATGCTCTCTGGCCCTGTACTGTAAGTAGTGACATTAAGAACATGTGAGGAACCTAACAAAAATAAAATTGCAAACCATCCGTGCTATCATGCATAAACAATAGCACAACAGAAACATGTAGGAAGTCACTAAGATAATGTAACAACACGTATGACAGCAATGGTCTCGGAACCAAGTAGTTAATCTTGTGCTTGAAGAGTGAATATAAAGAGAAAAGTATAATGGGGGATATAGAGGAGGAATATGAATTGGATGTTACCTTGCCTGCTAAATGAGAATTGAAGCACTCCAATTATACTTTTCCCAGTCGCATATGCTGGCCATTAAAAAAACGGAAGTATTAGGCCAAGTAAAATACAGTTAGAAAAACAATGGGAATCATGGCTCAATATGATATATCATGTGCAACTAAATAGAATTCATCGTAAACTAGAAGAGAGGAGGTAAGGAAAATAAGAAAAGACATGCTAATCATAGTTGCAATGGCCATGCTGGTTATTTATTTTGAGAAGCATTCGTACCCTTGCAAAGTGTTGGCATAGTAAGAACTCATCCACATTTAAGCATTAGCTTACTGAGCCAAATATCTCATATTTACGTGGATCCCCATAAAGGCAAGGGCACCTGTATCAATTTACATAGCACTGCAAAAACATATATCCTCTAAGAAAAGGAAATATGAGAAATCTAAGAACAATCCAATCTATGTATATAATAGAGAGGGCACTGAGTAATTTAACAGGTCTACATATAACCTAAATTGAGTTGCTAACACATCCCAATGCTAAACTATCAGTAGGAATCA